TGGAGATCACTACAATAGATTTAAACAACTTAAATGCTACAAAGAAGATAACATTGTTACATTCCATCATATTTCAGGTATCTCAAACTGCTCAGATTTTCTCACCAAGAAATACTCAGGTCCTGAAATTCAAAAGACATTAACCTCCACACCATTCAAGAATCATTTCTTTTTAAATCTATAGGTACTTCACTCATTCTTTCATATTCAATCACAACCAATTGAACACCGGTTAACAAAAGACAACACAATATAGTTCCAAATCAAGTTTCATCATATTTAATATTATTACATTCAATAAATACTCAGAAATGAGGGGGGGAATGTCAGGTATTACATAACCAGAATAACCAATTATGCACAATTCATCAATACTCAACATTTCACATCAACTATAAGAAGAATCAAGAATCCACTAATTGTAACATTATATGTATATTAATAGAACATCGGAATTACCTTATATACACACAGTAGAGGATATTCTGTCAGAATTTAGGTACTAGATTTAGAAAACCGCACGCCATAAAATGGCAGATCGCCAAAAAATTGTTCAGACTTCGATTTTATGATGTACAATTGTAAAAAACTTCAAGAGGGTTTGTGGTTTGGCATTGAATTTGAGAATGAAAGCTCTAGTGATGATAAAGGAAGTATGAAAGTAATAATTTTTTTTCAACTTACGATTTATTCCAGCTGCCTACACTAAATCTGGTCAATGACACCACAGTTTGTGTTTGAGCTGCCTCACTTTTTTAGGCATCAACTCCGGTTATATACCCAAGATCACTCAGAATTGTGAAGTGTGGTTTACATCTTGGTGACAATAAGCGTTAGTAACAATTACTAACATGGGGATCATGTTCATGAGATCCACAGTTTGTTCTTTATCATAAAATCATCTATAAAAGACTCATGATCTCTCCAAAGGTTCGACTAAAGACATATTAACTTCAAGCACAATTACCATCATGTCTTCAACTGAAACACAAACACAAGCCGAGAAGTTAGTTAAGGAACTAAACAACCAAACTGAAAACTTATCCATCGAAATTGATGTTTCCAAAAGAGTCAAAGGTGGATTCAATGCAAGTCATGTTGATGCCTTACCAAAACTTGCTAGGGAATATCTAGAAAGACATGGTGTTGATTTATCAAATGGATATCCTGAAAAACCACAATCAGAACAAATCCCATTATATGTTGACGATGCCTTAAAAATTAGAAATACTCCTCAAGAATACATCCCAAGAGGTAAAAATGCTGATCGTGAGAAAAAAGCATTATTCAGCAAAGTTAAAGAAGTCAAACATTTAACTAAATACATTGGTACTGAACTAGTTGGTGTTCAACTTGCTGATTTGAATGAACAGGAATTAGATGAATTAGCTCTGTTAATCGCTGAAAGAGTTGTTGTGTTTTTCAGAGATCAAGATTTAGCACCAGCTAGACAATTAGAAATTGGTCAATTTTTTGGTAACCCAGAGATTCATCCAAATAACTTTAGAGTGCCAGGATTACCAGGAACCACTGTTATTTGGACCCAATTGTTCAAGCGTAATGGCCACAAGACTTCTTTCAAGAATGCTAGATCAGCCACAGGTATTTGGCACTCAGATTTACCTCGTGAGTATTATTGTTTCCCATGTGTTAATGAGCTCAAATACTAACCATTGAAATAGATGAACTTCAACCACCTGGTCCAACCATTTTAGCTCAAAATTCATTACCTTCAGTTGGTGGTGATACTGCTTGGTCTTCAGGTTATGCTGCTTATGATAAATTATCACCAGCTTTCCAAAAATTTCTTGAAGGTAAATATGCTGTTCAAAGATCAATGCATACTTATTTAGATAGAAATGATCCTCTAAATGGTGGTAAACAAATAACTAGAGAACAACCAATTGTTAGAACACATCCAGTTACAGGTTGGAAATCATTGTACGTTAATCGTGATTGGACTGTCAGTATTGTTGGATTAGAACCTGAGGAATCAAGAACTATTTTGAACTACCTTTTTGATGTCTATGAAAAGAATTTGGATATTCAAGTCAGATTTAGATGGCAACCAACTACACCTGGTACTAGTACTGTTGCAATCTGGGACAATAGAGTGAGTCAACATACCGCTGTTTGGGATTATGATGTTGAAGAAGATAGACACGGTGTTCGTGTTAGTGCACTGGCTGAAGTTCCATTTTTTGACCCTGAATCAAAATCACAAAGGGAAGCACTCGGCTTGGATAATTAGCCTTGTTACTCTTTATGGCCATATGATTTTAATTCTGTTAGGTGTTGACACCAGTTTTATATGTGTTTCAATTCTTTCGCGTCCTTGTTTAACACCCGTTTCGTAGAAACACTAAATGCTGCCCAATACCCTATTATACCCATGAGTCATGACCCTAGAGCGCTTCAAATCTCCAAATGTCCTCTGGTTTACATCGTTCACGTTCTATATTTACTTTAACGCTTTTCAAATTTTGTCACTTAGGTCCACTGCTGCTACGCCCTCGAAAACTTTGATTGAGCCCTGGTTCTTTCTTGCTGATGTAGAGGTCCTAGGGTGCTTGTTGAGAAAGCCTTGTAACCTAAGAACCACGAATTTCTAGCCAAATTCATTCACTTTTGTGTCAAGCCTTGTCAAAAAATAAGCATCTCGAAGTTTTTATTGTTCTGTAAATCTTATTTTTAGACTGAACATTTCGATGGCTGGTTGGCATATAAAGTGTTACCGTAGAAACCATCTGGTTTGCAGCACATTGATATTTATGTTTTTCCGAATCGGGTAAATTTGTGAAAGTTTCGAGGCCATAATCAATTTGAAACGCGTATGACACGAAAAAAATTCGTATATAAGAAGGAGATCAAGACGTATTTTAATTTTAGTGAGATGTAGATCTTGGCTATCTTCAACGTTGTATTAACCTACAATTCTACTCAAACTACAAAACAATTTAAATTCATTATGCTTTTGAAGAATATCATCTTAGCCTCACTGATCCCATTAATCGCTGCTCAAGCTAATGGTGCTCTAGATCAAGACGCTGGTAACAATGGGAGAAGAACTTCAGCAGCAGAGGTTGCTTCAGCTGGAACCACTGAAGCTACCCAAGCCAATACAAAGCAAGAGTCAGCAGCTACTGTTAAATCAGAAGCCACAGAAGCTACACAGCAGTCTCAAGCTATAGTCAAAACTGAATCTCAAGCTACCCAAAACACACTTCAAACAACAGCCCAATCACAACCCACTGCAGCTAATACAGATCAAAGTACAACAGTATGGTGGACGCCTTCTCAATCAGTGTGGTGGACTCCAACACAAACAGTTTGGTGGACACCAAGTACAAGTGCTGAAGTTTCCACTATAGTTTCAGGGTCAAGTACATATTTAACAACTTTAGCAACATCTGTTAGAAGTGGTTCATCAGAATCATCCTCTGGTTCAGCTTCAAATTCAAAGTCAGCCAATGGTAAATTAACAACTGAAAAAGATGTTGTTCTAACTACTGTTTCATTCACTAGTGGCTCAAGTACGGGTGCTTACACTTCAAGTTACACCACTTCTTCTATTCATACTCTCAATAGTAATTCTTCATCAGGTGCTAATGCATTATTGGTTCAAGGTGGAAGTGTTAAAGATTCTTTGAAGATTGTTGTTCCTGTTTGTGTTGCCGCTGGTGCCTTAATCTTTGCGTAAAGGAAATTGTTGTGTTATTCATGTTGTTGGTTTTATATTTGCATCTGGTTTTGCATTTTGGTTTTGATGTTTTTTTTATCTTCTCAATCATGACATTTCTTGAGGAGAGTGTATACTATTGGAGTTTTGTTAAAAGTAATATAGATAACTTTGTCTACTTGACAGCATTGTAGAGTATAGTAATTTGGTCTATAGTAACATATCATGTACAAAATAATCGGTAAGCAGTATTTCAGTTTCATTTGCTTCTTCATCTCTGTTCGGCCTTTGAGTATTTACTTTACCAAACTCCTACAACCAGATCAAAACAGCCAATTCTAGCCCAATTTTTCTCATCCATCGTACTATAAAGCATCAAGGCACTCACCAGATCAGCAACCTCCTTATCCCAACTCTTTGCAACGAAATGGAATCACTCCACAAAGTATCAGATCTTCGCGAATTGGATTGTCTTTAAGTGCGGATTTATTCAGCTTATTTCCGTGTTTTTTAAGTGGATGATTTTTTCAAGAGTTGACCATTTTTCGGTTGACAATTGAAAAATTTGTGGAAAGGACTTGACGACGAAAAGAGGTTCAAATCATCTGATAAACCAACTTGCTCTGAATATAAAAGCATATCTAGATTCACTATCAAATAGCTATCTATTACAAATTACAAATCATTACAAAAGAATACCTCCAGCAAATACCACTTTAATTTCAAGGTTTAGTCATCATCTCCTCAATTGAAACAACCCATAATAGATTAACGGATAATTCTCATAAATACAATTTCAAATCCTTCCAGTTAATTAGAATTCCATCTTCTTTCCACAATCCCATATACAATTTAACACATACAACTCATCAACACAATGGTTCTTTGGTACAAAAACCGTCACGACTATCCCTTCAACTTTGAAACAGTCACCGTCGCCGTCTTCAACAAATACCCAAACCCTTACGCCTCTCATGTGTTATCAGTTGATACTATAGATCGTGAAATTAAAGATGGCAAATTACACACTACAAGACTGATTAAAAAAGTTGGTAAATTACCGAGATGGGTTAAACCTTTCCTCAGAGGTATAAATGATTCATGGATAGTGGAGAAGACAATAATAGATCCTAAATCACAAAATTTACAATCTTACACAAGAAATTTAGACCATACCAAAATTATCAGAGTGGAGGAATATACTACTTATCAATACGACTCAAACCTGGATAAAACAAATGTTGTTTATAATGTCAAGTTTAGTTCTGGTTTCAAAAATGTGGTTAGAGATAGAATTGAAGCTTATAGTCATAGTAAGTTCCAAGAAAACATCAAAAACACAACAATGGGTATGGCTTATGTGATGCAAAAATTTCAAGAAAGAAGACTACTATGGGCCAAAAACAAAGCTGCTAGTTGATTTCATATCGTTTCATTGCATAAAATTTGTCATATATAAACCATACATTATTTATTAGTTCATTGTTTTTTCCCCCTGTAAATATATTATTTATTTGGTCATCATTATCATTTTGTAGTTTTTCAGGCAAAACTAACATCCCATCCTAATCTCTTTACAATCTCATACCAATCAACACATCTTGTTCCACTTGGATCTACTAACCAAACTTGTTCCATAACAGTTTTAGCTCTTTCTAGGTTTTTGAAACTATAACGCTCTCCAATATCCTTAAACCTTGCCAACATTCTTTTACGATCTTTTTTTGTGGTACAATTCATACCAGCTATAAATAACGGGAAACATAATGAGCCTTCAACTGATGACTTCAAAACAACATCAAGACATTTTAACAATTCACATAGTATAAATTGAGTTTCTAAAGATGATGGATTCAACCTCAAAACTGATTGTCTCAAATGTAGCTTAGCAGTTAATTGGAAAGATTCAAACAGTGTCAATTGTAATTCCAGTTCCTCTGGAGAAAATGAATTCAGATCATTTGGATCAGGTTTTGCTATATTGATTTTGTTCTCCAATAATGATGCCTTTTGCATAATCTTTGATAATGACGCATACCTTGACAATTTGACACCACCATGATCATTACCAACCTTTTCAGAATCTGGAGTATCTATCCCAGGTACTTCGAAAGAATTTTCATCAAAGCCTCCATCAACACCTTCATCATCATCATCATTCATAATACCATAACCTAAAGAATTTGATGAAATTTTCAACAATTTCTTACTCTCTGTAACTAGAGTAGAAATTTCACCAATAATATTAAACATTGGTTTAACAATACCATGTAATGGATCCACACCAAACCCTAAATTAACAATAAAATCATCATATTGCTCCACGGGGAAATATGTACCACGTTCACTTGTAGAACTTGCCAATATATCATGGTATGCGAAACTTGACATCAGCCAATGTTGTTCTTTATCTTTATTGAATTCATAAAGTCCACCACGATTTTTAATGATCTTTGCAGCCCATTCCAAATAAACTGGCCATTTACGAACATCACCTTTACAAATCTCTGCACCACACATAATTAATAAATTTGCCAATCTTTGTAAAGTTTCATTTTCGTTTTTAATTGGAGTATCCTTGATGAAATCTAGTGCTTTCGTCATATATCTTGTTCCTTCATCTTCAAAATCTCCACCTAAATGATATCCTGACCAGGCCAAGATACTATATAGGATACCTTTATTTTGAGCAGCCATTGGTAGGAAAACCTTGAGATAATAGTTGGATTCAGCAGGAACAATCGACATGATCCTTGCAAGACGATGTTGATAATAGTCATATAGTTTAACTCCAATATTATCTAAATTTAAACTTGAAGGGAAGGGATTTTTCGGTATTGTGTTGGTAAAATCAAAATTAATGAATGGTGGCACTTGAATGTTATTCTGGTTAAGCATGTTTTCAAATGAATCTATTTTCCGTAACGAAGTTGAATGGCCGTGCTGTTGTTGAGGATCATCATTATCAAGTTCTGTAATTTTATCAGAATATTTATCAATATTGCTTCTTAAATTACTTTCAAAAAAATTATTGAATTCAAACAAATGTTCAGTCCCATTTGATAAATCCCATGGTTTTGGTGAAAATGATAATGAACTTTGAGATGGTGAAAATGCTCTTGTTGGGAAATTCATTAAATTTGAAGAAATTGGTGTAGCTGAAATTGGTGTTCCTGGCTTGTGATGTATTGGTCTTGCTGATTGCATTTCTGGATCCAGTGGAATATCGTCATCAATGAAATTACTTATACTCATTGGACTTTCATGATTCATTTGAGGAGATGCAACATTTGGAACTTGATCCTCCCCTTTTTCCTTCTTCTTTCTCTTTCTTTTAGGTTTATCACTAGCAGCTTCTTTTTCAACCCTTATTCTTTTCGCTCTTGCATTCTTTTCATTTTCTTCAACTTGCTTTTTCAACTCACGTATCTTTTCAATAGACATTTCATCTGTAGCCCAAACACATTGTTTACCTAACCTTTGACAATCTGCACATACTGGTCTCTCTTCAGAGCATCTCTTTTTCCTTATTTTACATGTAATACAACCACCTTTGTTCTTCTTTTTAGTGAAGTTGAATATTTTCACATCTGGAGGATTAGACTGGTCTATATTCTGTATCAGGTAATCTTCTTCAGGTGCATTATTTTGAGTGTTTGAGTCTTGTGGGTTATCACCAAGGGATCTTGGTTGGGGTTGTTTGGCTTCAAACGTTACCAACATCTTGGCCTATATATTCAACAGTGGCAGCTAGTAAGAATAGTAGAACAGTGAATTTTAAAATGTAAGTGAGTTATAGGCTAGCAGGTGACAGATAGTGAAACGATAAACAGATGTTCTGTATTTTACTTTACAGCCGAAATCTTTAACGTACCCAACAAAATTGGCAGAAATCCAAGTCATGTGACTCTGGAGCACCAAGGTTCCGGATAAGGAAGGTCAATACGCAACATAATCTGGAGTAGCGTTGATTGTTGTTTTTATTACTTCAAAGTGATATAAGTTGTAATATTAAGGCTGCGATAACCTTGAGAGAGTAAGAAGTTAGATTTATGCCCATTTGTGGGATGTCATTAGAATAATCTCTCCAAGATGACAACAGTTCGTAACATTAGATGCCCTTCCCCATTGACAGAGCTTTCTTCATATCCAGCTAGCCTGTAGGTGTTTGTTAATATCTTTATTTGGGATTTTAAACGAAGTGTCGCCATTGTGTAAGCAAATTACAGCGTAGAGCCTCAAGCACTGGATCACGACATAGCGCCTTCGTTAATGTTCTACATCAATTAATTATTGAAGTATCACTTATTTTTTTGACTTTCCAATGTTGGACTTTCTTCTCTCATTTCTCAACGCCTTGTATAGGCTCAATTCCTTTTCGAATTGTTCTTTAGAAACACCTTTTCTCCATCTTAGATTATATGCTGGGTGATCACCACTCAAAAAGGTTTTACCTTCTTCACCATAAAAGTTTTCTCTCAAAGTTCCACCTGGAACTGAATATTCAGTCTGTGCCAAACCTCTACGTTGAAGTTCTGGAACCAATAATTCCACAATATCAATCAGCATCCCGGGATATGGAGAAACGATAAAATTGAAACCATCAATGTCAGCTTTTGAAAGTAAGTCTTCTATTTGATCCGCGACTTCAGAAGCTGTACCTGCAAATGATAAGCGTGTTCCATATTTCTTTGCAATATCAGTTTTTGTCTGCCCACCTTTGTCTCCATTTAAAACAGTTTTAGTAATAGACTTGATAGCATTACTTTCACCTTGATCCCCAACTTCTTCATCCCAACCATATTTGGATAGATCAAAACCTGAAATCCCACCAAAGAACACTAAGTTTGCCTCAAGATTCTCAGCTTTTTTGTACTCTTCAAATTTATCAAGTGCCTCTTGATGAGTATTACCGATAAAGGGAAGTAAACTAGTGATAAATTTGATTGAATAAGGATCTCTATTGAAACGCGTTTCAGCTAATTTTCTAATCTCTGGAATCTTGTCGGTAGATTTAGTGTCTATGAAAACCAATTCAGCATTCTCGGCTGCAAATTCAATACCTTTTTCTGAAGAACCAGCTTGAACAACAAGTGGAAATCTTTGCTTTGTAGGCTCTGTAATTGCAGGCCCTTTAATACTAAAGTATTTTCCCTCATGATTAATTTCTCTAATGGCTTATGGATCAGCGAATATTCCCTTCTTCTTGTCATAAACTAAAGCATCATCCCTCCAAGAAGACAATAACAACTCATAAACAGCATCTAGATACTCCTCAGTCTTGACATATCTTTCACTATGCTCTGGTATTGGTGCTCCATCAAGAAGATTTTTACCAACACTTGGTAAATATGATGCAACAATATTCCAACCAGCCCTTCCATCACTCAAATGATCTAATGATGCCAATCTTCGAGCAAAGTGATAAGGATGTTCACTAATTGTGCTCAATGTAGTAATAAAACCAATAGATTTCGTATGAGAGGCCAAAGCGCTAACTAATAGGGATGGATCAATTCTGGGAGCATTAACACCATATTTAGCACTACCTTCATGACTATCACCATAAACATCAAACCAAGTTAAGTGATCAACGAAAAAGACATTATGAAACTTTGCCTTCTCGGCAAGTTTAGCAAATTCAATTGATTGATTCAGGTCCCTAGTGAATTCTCTTGATGTATCATTAGGGAGGCTCCAATTTCTTGGAGTTGAAGCAGTAGCAGCACTCAAAATCAAAGGACCTCTGTTTCTTCTAGCTTGTGAGATTTGTCCAGTCATGGCTAATTTGAATTCTATAACCAGCATTCTTCAAGTTAACAAGTCATTTTAAAAGCTTTTATATGACAATGAATACTGTAGTTGTGTAATAAGCCATGACTATATTTGGTGATTTAGACGCTATTGAAAACTAACTGTGGCCGTTGATCTGGTGTCTTTTCAAGTAGTTTGGTGATCGACATCCTGAACTTTGAGCAATAGGCATTGAGCAATAAACAGGGTACTATATGACGCCATTTGAATACATTTTTGCACAACTCGAGTTGTCAGCCTTTAATAGGTATTGTAAAATTGCACTTTATAGTAGATATCGTAGTATACTAAATCCAGTTCTTTTTGCGAAAATTCGTGATTTTGGCAGATCTACGTGCCTTTATCGCATATACAAGTAAAGAATTCTTGAAATTGTACATTAATTAATCCAACTATGATTAGCTAGGTCTGCTACCTCGTAATTTTCCATCCTGGGTGTATCAACGAATCATTTATGTTATTAGCTTCACCACATCTTTGGTGGCATTCTTTGAAGTGATTGACTGTGTAGCATCAGCATCAATCTCGCTTGATGTGTCCGAATTATCTGGGTTTTTGAATGCGGTTCCATTTCTAACTTCCCTCTTGTGCAACAATATGATCAGCACAAATGTTACTATCATCAATGCAGATAAAGCTGCAGTGACCGGCCATCCAATATTCCACTGAGGAGCAGCCCTAGCTGGATTTTTAGCAGTTGTTGGATAAAGAGCAAACGCAAGCCAGACATAAACAAATTGTGCAAATGTCATCATTGAGCCAAATACTAAAGCCTTCAGTTCTGAATCTTTTCTTAAAATAAGGTTAACTTGAGAGTATAAGATTGGGGAGGTGATATTGATGAGATAACTGATATAGAATGCAGCAAAAATAGCAGGATCTGGAACATGATAAACACTCAATATGATGGACCCGACGAATGGACCCAGTGCACCAATTGTGTAGATAATCCACGGTGGATATACACCTGCCACTGTTGTACCAATAAACGAAACTACCAATCCAATAGCATCACAACCAGTAGGGTACCTATTGATCTGTGAGACTGAATAGTTTCCTTTAGCCTTTAGCCACAACGAGAAATATCCTATAGGATACCAGACAATCACCATGATGGTATAGTTTAAGCAGAACAGATACCATTTCCAATCACTCAAAGCCCTTTTGAAGGTATCAACAGTTAAAGGTTTGGCTTCATTGATGTCAAATCTTTTCAACCTCTTGAATACCAAATCATACTCCTTATCAGTAAGTAATATAGGTTTACCGGCCTCAGGGATTCCTGTCCAGAGGAAAAATCCAACAACACTTAATCCAAGGGTGATAATACCATCTATCAAAAATAACCATTGCCAGCCTGTGTGCCCATGGACGCCGCTCAAATGTTTATGAGCAGCTGCTTGTAAATGTCCTGAAACCAAATTACCACCATTCAAACCAAAGAAGAAAGTAGCTGTACGGACATAAAGTTCTGGAGGGTTCCCTCTAAAAGACTTGCTTGAGTAGAATTTACCAAGGACATACATCACTCCTGCATATGTTGGAGCCTAAGGATAAAGTTAGTATTTAGTCAAGGAGTGTAAAAATTTAGTGGAACATACTTCAGCGAGACCAACAAAGAATCTGATTGCGTATAAATGATTTGTTGTTTTCACTGTACTCTGCAATAGTGTCAAAGCTCCATAAACAATCTCCAAACTTGGAAGCACCCATTTTGAGAACCTAGGTCTTGATAATAACAATAACTCAGGGATTTGACCCAAAACATATCCCATTTGATGAACAATAACAAGCCAGTTTAATTCATTACCATTCATTAATAAATCTTCCTTCATACCAGAGACATAAGCATTTGTGACATTTTTAGTATCCAAAGTTTTTGCAAAGTATGAAGTACAAGCATATACCAAGATGGAAATATCTAATTTGAACAATAGCTTCTTCTCCTCTGTATCATAATTCGATGGGTACCAAATAAAGATAGCCCTGAACGCATCTAATAGTTTGCTTTTCTTTGGCTCTTCATATGATTCTTCAATAGTAGCTGAAGTGACCTCATTTTGCAAAACTGAAGTAGGTTTATCTGTCATTGTTGGGCTTCAGATGATTTGAGAGAGATGGTATTTCTTCAAAACAACACAAAACGCCCCTGTTATATATGTAAAATCGAGTCCATAATTGATGAATTTCTTGGACATTTAAAATGGTGGTACATGATTCTAACGCTTATCTTCCCAGATCGATCATGGGATCCACAGGTCTTTTTGATTCCACAGTGCAACGACTTTTGATTTAGTAAACTACCACTGCGAAGCACAGTGAATCTGTAGTGACAACAAGATTAATCTTAAGCTCACTTAAGCCAATAATGGTTATTGTGCTGATTTGTTAAGTGTTCTCAATGCTCATTAGGGTGCCCTTCTTGTCGTTTCAATTCTTTCAAGTGGTGAAGGTGTGGTAAAGTTTTGTCGGCTCGACAATTTAACCAAAAAAAAACTGTGTCTGCCAAATTGCACTGGTTTTTAGATTCATGAGAAAAAGCTGAAAACTTTTGGAAGATTCTTCACATAGATAAAAACCGATTGTAAGCGATGAGTTTACATCAACGTTGTCAAGGCCTATCCTAAGGATGTATACGGAGTGCTTTGATAGATCCATTCACAATTCTGGATCCAATTTAATTCAATTTCTGGTGCTCTGCACTCATCAATCGAAGCCATAGTTTTTGACCACCAGATCCACAGTTGAAGCTACCACCCCATAAATAACCTCCAGGCACCCTTCGATTCTAATTTCTGAATGACAAGCTCTTGTTTTGTCAAGTAAAAATGACACAACCTACTTCAAAGAAGCAAAAAGTTGCCCACTCTAAGAAAACTTGGATCATTAACGCTGCTGGAAATGCTTCAGCTGGAAAATGGAGACACCCACAAGATAGATCCAGTGAATTGGGTTATAGTATTGATGCGTGGATTGAGTATGCCAAAATAGCTGAGCGTGGGAAATTGAATGCGATTTTTGCTGCTGACCACCTTGCTTTATTTGATAATTACAAAGGTCCAAATAATTATCAGCTCCCTGCAAAAGAAGGTTTTGCTATTGCCAGGATTGACCCATTCTCTTTGGTTTCTGCATTGGCTACACATACAAAGAATATTGGATTTGGTATCACTGCTAGTACTGTGAGTGAACATCCGTATCATTTTGCAAGAAGATTAGCTACTGCCGACAATTTATCTAAGGGAAGAGTTGGTTGGAATATTGTTTCAAGTTATTTGAGTGGTGTTGGGAGACAATTGTTAAATGGTGAATTACCTGATCATGATGAGAGATATGTCAAAACAACAGAGTATCTAGATGTTGTTTATGATTTGCTATTGTCTTCTTGGAGGGATGGCTCATTCGTTAATGATCCTAAACGTGGTGTTTATGTTGAGCCGGATGGTATTAGAGAAATCAATCACACTGGTAAATATTTCAATGTCCCTGGCCCTGCAAATTTCCACTACACTCCACAAAGATTCCCATTGATCATTCAAGCTGGTAGCTCATCTAAAGGTATTGAATTTGCAGCTGAAAACGCCGAAGTTGTGTTTCTCAATAGTCATGATCCTAACATAATTGCCAAATCTGTTGCAAATGTGAAAAAATTGGCTAAAGAGAAATACGGAAGAGATCCTAATCATTTGAAATGTTTAGTTCCTGCTAATGTTATTTTGGGTAAAACTAATGAGGAAGCTATTGAGAAATTAAAGCTGTATGAAAAATACACCAATGAGGATGCTCAACAGGCTTCATTTAGCTCGGTAACTGGTATTGATCTAAGTAAATTTGAACTTGATGATGTTGTCACTATAGATAAAAAATCAAATGCTATGCGCTCTGCAACTGACAGTTTATTGAACAAAGGTCAAAAGTTGCACACAAAACGTGAGATTTTGAAAACATATAATCAGTACGGGCTATTTGGAAAAGCTTTTGCTGGTACTGCAAAAGAAGTTGCTGATCAATTAGAACAATGGGTTAATGATTATGATATTGATGGGTTCAATTTTGGGTTTGGTGCGGTGTTTCCTCAATTTTTGGAGGATATTGTTGACTTATTGATTCCTGAATTACAAGAAAGAGGTGTGTTTTGGAAAGATTATCCAGTTAATGGTGGAACCTTTAGAGAAAATGTCTTTGGTGTTAAAGGTCAAAACTTCCTACATGAGGATCATCCAGCTTATAAGCTGAGATGGGAGGCAGGTATTTCTAAAGAGCAGTTTGAAAAAAATCTAGAGGAGTATCAAAAGATCAGACTGGGTAGAAGAGAAGAATAGAATTTCATTTCTATACATAAATTGACGTTCCATGGCTTCGTATAAGCACTTTGTAGAAGCATCGAGGATCTTTTCACTGGAGTTAGAAGGAGAATCCGAGACTAGCTGGAGCCAAAGACTGAGGTCATCTGTACCTGACTCCACCAGCCAGACCTAGTCTCTGTGATTACCAAATGTCGCGATCCTATTGGGCACTGATTAAAAATTCTTATCAGCTGTTGTATGGGGAAAATTTGGCTGGGTGGATTATGTCAGCACAGTCGATTATACGCGAATGAAGCCAGGTGAAGGGGGAGAAAAAAACACATCTACCATCTTTTGTAACTATACTGAAGAGTTAAGAAGGGCCTATTTGGTGTGTTATTTGTGCTAGTACTTGTTCTTGAAACTCATAAACTGTTCAGAAATCACATTCTCATATAATAACAGCTGGTTCTATTGTTTTTTGAGGATTTTTGACCGAGTTTCCATCAAGTTGAGAAAAAAGTCATCAGATAGCTTTTAAATCAATACAATCAAAGAGATCTTTTGGAAAGATAATACAAAAGCTTGATTCTTTAAGGAAGATCTATACAAGTGAGCTTTAGAGGTAGGTCATTAAACTTTGTTCGTTGTTTGTTGAGGGTCGAAGGACATCAGCCCACATGGACGACTAAAATTTAATACTCTTGAAAGACATTATATTAACTAAAACAACAGAACTTACTAAACAAAAATGGTTGCAAAGACTGATACCATCAATGATGATGGCTATGAGTCAAAACATGTCTATGAATATGACGAAACCACTCAAAACAAATCTTGGGCTTCAGCATTACCAGTCAAACAAGGTTTATACGACCCTGATTTAGAAAAAGATGCTTGTGGTGTTGGTTTTGTTTGTAACATCAAAGGTGCAGCAAGTCATAAAATTGTTAGTGATGCTAGATTCTTGCTATGTAACATGACACATAGAGGTGCCGTTTCATCTGATGGTAATGGTGATGGTGCTGGTATTTTAATGTCTATCGGACATAAATTTTTCCAAAAAGAATTCAAGCACTTGTGTGATTTGGAAATCCCAAATGAAGGTCAATATGCCATTGGTAATGTTTTCTTCAAAAAAGATGACTCAATTTTATCTCAATCAAAAGAGACTTTTGAACAATTGGCTAAAAATTTGGATTTGACTGTTTTAGGTTGGAGAACTGTCCCTCATGATTCTTCAATCTTGGGAGCTGCTGCTTTATCAAGAGAACCTTTGATCTTACAACCAATTGTTGCACTGACTGAGATTATTGGCAATAAAGATTTATCAACTGAGGATTTTGATGCCAAATATGAAAAAAAATTTGAAAAACAATTATACTTGTTGAGAAAACAAGCAACAAACAGTATTGGTTTACATAATTGGTTTTATGTGTGTTCTCTTTCAAACAAATTGATTGTTTATAAAGGTCAATTAACTCCAAATCAAGTTTACAACTATTATCATGATTTGAACAATGCTGATTATCAATCACATTTTGCCCTTGTCCACTCAAGATTCTCCACAAATACTTTCCCTTCATGGGATAGAGCTCAACCTTTAAGATGGTTAGCTCATAATGGTGAGATCAACACTTTGAGAGGTAACAAGAACTGGATGAGATCAAGAGAAGGTGTTATGGAATCATCATTTTTCGGTGAAGAATTGGACAAGTTATATCCTATCATTGAAGAAGGTGGTTCAGATTCCGCTGCTGTTGATAATGTCTTAGAATTGTTAGTTATTAATGGTGTCTTATCATTACCTGAAGCTGTTATGCTGTTGGTTCCAGAAGCTTGGGAAAATGATGCCAATATGGACTCCAAGAAGAAGGCATTTTATCAATGGGCTGCTTGTTTAATGGAACCATGGGATGGACCTGCTTTATTCACCTTCACTGATGGTAGATATTGTGGTGCTACTTTGGATCGTAATGGGTTAAGACCTTGTCGTTATTACGTTACAACTGATGATCGTATCATTTGTGGTTCAGAAGTTGGTGTTATTCCAGTTTCAAATGATATGATTATCTCCAAGGGAAGATTGGAACCTGGTCATATGTTGTTAGTTGATACTCATTTGGGTAAAATTGTTGATGATCGTGAATTGAAAGGTAAAATCTCTTCAAGATATGATTTTAAATCCTGGTTATCCAAAATCATTAAATCAGAGGATTTGAAAGCAAAATTTGAAGATAAGAACATTGATTTGGGTAAAGATTTGGCTATTGATACTTCAATTACAAGTCAAACTGATAAAAGATTGTTATCTCTTGGTTATACTTTTGAACAATTGGCTTTAATCATTGGTCCAATGGGTATAAAAGGTGAAGAAGCTTTAGGTTCTATGGGTAATGACGCACCATTAGCTTGTTTGAATGAAAGTCCAGTCTTATTGTATGACTACTTTAGACAGTTGTTTGCTCAAGTTACAAATCCACCTATTGATCCAATAAGAGAAGCAAATGTTATGTCATTAAAATGTTTTATTGGTCCCCAAGGTAATTTATTGGAAATGAATCAAAACCAATGTAATAGACTTTTATTAGAATCACCAATTTTAAAACCTGATGAGTTCAATTCCTTGAGAAAAATCACCCAAATTTTGCCAAATTGGGCAGTTTCTGAAATTGATATCACTTTTGCTAAATCGGAAGGTTTATTAGGTTATGTCAACACAATTGAAAGAATCACCCAAGAAGCTTCCGAAGCGATCTACAATGAAACTCAATTCATTATTTTATCAGATAAAGCTATTAGTGCTGAACGTGTTCCAATCTCTGCATTAATTGCCGTTGGTGCTATCCATCATCATTTAATTCGTCAAAAACAACGTTCTAAAGTTGCTTTGATCTTAGAAACTGGGGAAGCAAGAGAGGTTCATCATTTCTCTGTCTTACTAGGTTATGGTGCTGATGCTATTTATCCATATTTGGCCATGGAAACTTTAGTTAGAATGAACCATGAAGGTTTGATTAGAGATGAAATGTCAGATTCAGCACTTTTGGATAACTATAAGAATGCTGCCAATTCTGGTATTAAGAAAGTCATGTCCAAGATGGGTATTTCAACTTTGGCATCATATAAAGGTGCCCAAATTTTTGAAGCTTTGGGTATTGATAATTCTGTGATTGATGTTTGCTTCAATGGTACTGCTTCAAGAATTAGAGGTGTTACATTTGAATATATCGCTCAAGATGCTTTCTCATTACATGAAAGAGGGTTCCCAAATAGGGATACAGTTACACCATCTACATTACCAGAAAGTGGTGAATATCATTGGAGAGATGGTGGTCCAAAACACGTTAATGATCCTGTTGCTATTGCATCTTTACAAGATGCTGTTCGTAACAAAAATGAACATGCTTTTGATGTTTATACCAAAAAGGAAATGGAAGCTATCAGAGATTGTACATTAAGAGGATTACTTGATTTTGATTATGAAAACTCCACTCCAATCCCATTAGATCAAGTTGAACCTTGGACTGAAATTGCTCGTCGGTTTGCTACTGGTGCCATGTCATATGGTTCTATTTCTATGGAGGCACATTCAACACTAGCTGTCGCAATGAATAGATTGAATGCCAAATCAAATAGTGGTGAGGGTGGTGAAGACCCAGAGCGTTCAATTATCAATGAAAATGGTGATTCAATGAGATCTGCTATTAAACAAATTGCTTCTGGTAGATTTGGTGTCACATCCTACTACTTAGCAGATGCTGATGACCTTCAAATCAAGATGGCACAAGGTGCTAAACCGGGTGAGGGCGGGGAGCTTAAAGTGTAGTTTTGTACGGTTATCGTTTATGGGTTTAAATAAACCATTTTTTGGTTAAATTTTGTAGATTTGTGTAGATTTATATAGATTTTTGAGATTTTTTTTTCGCGAAATTATTGGACAATTCGCGAACTAGCCTGCATATTTGTCCGCCAAAAATATAAAGGACAAATTCAGCTGCATGTACCTACAGCTAGTACAGTTACACCAACTAGTAACTTCTATCTCAGTCACGTGAAAGGTAGCTGGGAATAGTAAAATGGTACAGAAGTCTACTGTACGCTTCAAATTGAGCTCAGCTTTTGGCTTGAAGACGCTGATTAACATACCACTACAGGAACTAGCTAGCTTGACCTAGAATGTTACGTGATTGGACGGCTTGGTTATTCACATTTTTACACCTTCATTGATGGTTTTTCGCACTTTGGTATTTTCGAGAAAACCCGCAAAACGTTTTCGCGATTTCACAAAAATCAGTTTTTTTTGTCCTGGTGTTGAAAGTATAATTCTGTGATCCGAGCACACTTTTGGACAAAATTTGAAAAAAGCTGATTTTTGTGAAATCGCGAAAACGTTTTGTAAGTTTTCTCGAAAATACCAAAGCGCGAAAAACCATTTAATTCTAGTCCTTCCAGATATGGGCTAGTCTTGCTTTTTGAACCCTAGACCTTACCAGTATCTATCACCAGCCAATCACATTTATCTAAACATAATCATAATAGAGAGCGAAAGTTCTATAAACATAGTGGAACATCCATATTAAACATATTTTATTACATTAAGACTCTGACTATGTATTATATTAATGCTTTAGAGCATTATTATCTTACTACATTATCAATTTGGCCACTCTCACCTCTGATTTACTGAGTGTTTTAATGATTTCTCATAGCTAGACCCATCCCCAGCCTGTCAGTCTCCAGACCCAGCTCCCCCAATGTTTATACGATGCAAGAATGGTCTCACACCGAGCTTATCACTTGTGGGTCTGAATTTTTATCCTCGTTGTCAAACATATAAAAATCAAATCAGCCCCAAAGTTAGAATTATCAACCCTTTTCATCCTTCAAGTTAGTACCTGATCTACTCAAACTATACAAAGGTACAATGCTCAAGGCTGGGAAATCAGTGACAGATCAAGTCCAGCAAGACAAAAAGAAGAAGCCATCTGATGCTGACATCTATGGGAAAGTCACTCCTGAAATTGCCAAAACTAGACGTTCAACTCCTGGTGTTAGTTTGATCTCTCCTCCACCTCATCATGATATTTATTCTATTGAAGATTTAAAACAATTGATCTATGATTTGAAGTGTGCTAACCCAAGAGCTGGAATCTCTGTCAAGTTGGTTTCCGAAGTTGGTGTTGGTATTATTGCATCAGGTGTTGCCAAAGCTAAAGCTGACCACATTTTAATTTCTGGTCATGATGGTGGTACGGGTGCTGCTAAATGGACTAGTATCAAATATGCTGGTTTACCTTGGGAATTAGGGTTGGCTGAAACACATCAAACTTTGGTATTGAATGACTTGAGAGGTAATGTTGTTGTGCAAACTGATGGTCAAATTAGAACAGCTTTCGATGTTGCAGTTGCAGTTTTGTTGGGTGCCGAAAGTTTTACTTTAGCCACTGTTCCATTGATTACAATGGGGTGTATTATGATGCGTAAATGTCATTTGAATACTTGTCCTGTTGGTATTGCAACTCAAGACCCGGTCTTGAGAGACAAGTTTCAAGGTGCTCCAGAACATGTTATCAATTTCTTCTACTATTTGATTAATGATTTACGTAAAGTCATGGCCAAGTTGGGGTTCAGAACAATTGATGAAATGGTTGGTCATTCTGAAAAATTAAAAGCTAGAGAAGATCGTAACACCAAAAACTGCAATATTGATTTATCCCCAATTTTAACACCAGCTCACACAATTAGACCTGGTGTTCCAACTAGATTTGTCAAGAAACAAGATCATAGACTACACGTTCGTTTAGATAACAAATTGATTGATGAGGCAGAAATCACTTTGGATAGAGGTTTACCTGTTACAATTGATGCAAATATCATTAATACTGATCGTGCATTAGGTACTACATTATCATACCGTATCTCCAAAAAGTTTGGTGAGAATGGTTTACCACAAGATACAGTTGTTGTAAATATCAAGGGAAGTGCTGGTCAATCCTTTGGTGCTTTCTTGACTAGTGGTGTTACATTCTTTTTGGAAGGTGATGCTAATGATTATGTTGGTAAAGGTTTAAGTGGTGGTAGAATTGTCATTAGACCTCCAACTGACTCAAAATTCAAATCATATGAAAATGTTATTGTTGGTAACACTTGTTTCTATGGTGCTACTGGTGGTACAGCATTTATTAGCGGTGCAGCTGGTGAACGTTTCGCTGTTCGTAATTCTGGTGCAACTATTGTCGTTGAAAAAATCAAAGGTAATAATGCCTTTGAATATATGACTCGTGGTCGTGCCGTTGTTTTATCTCAATTAGAGAGTAATAATGCCTTTGCTGGTTGTTCTGGTGGTATTATTTATGTTTTGGTTTCTGATTATCAAGAATTCCTTTCAAGAATTAATCATGAAACTGTTGAATTATCAGGTTTGACTGATCCTGTGGAGATTGCATTTGTTAAAAATTTGATTGAAGAACACCGTCAATTAACAGGGTCGGAATTGGCTGATCGTATCTTGAAGAATTTCAATCATCATCTAAAGAGCTTTGTCAAAGTTTTACCAATTGAATACAAGAGAATTTTAGCATTGGAAGAAGAAAAGAAACAAGAACTAAAGAGAGTTGAAAGTGAAAGATATTTGAAATCATTCAACAGAGTTGATCCAGAAGCTGATATCACTAATGGTGAAATCATTAAAAAGAATAACCATCGCCCATCAACTTCATTAAACTCTACAAAACATGAACCAAAAATCATGGATTTGGAAGACTCTGTCAAGGATAAGAATTTTGAAAATAAAAAAGTTGAAAAATTGGATAAAGTTCGTGGTTTTATGAAGTATAAAGTTCGTCATGAAAATTATAGAGCTCCAAGATCAAGAACAAAAGATTGGAAAGAATTATCCAAGGCAATCTCCAAAACTGATGCTAAACAACAAACTGCTCGTTGTATGGATTGTGGTATTCCATTTTGTCAATCCGATACAGGTTGTCCAATTTCAAACGTTATTCCAAAGTTCAATGAATTAGTTTTCAATGATCAATGGGAAGCTGCTTTAGAAAAATTATCTGCAACTAATAATTTCCCAGAATTTACTGGTAGAGTTTGTCCAGCTCCTTGTCAAGGTTCTTGTACTTTAGGTATCATTGATGACCCAGTTGGTATTAAGTCAGTTGAACGTTTAATTATTGATAATGCATTTGAAAATGGTTGGATTGTTCCAAAACCTCCTCAACAACGCACTGGTAGAAAAGTTGCCATTATTGGTTCAGGTCCTGCTGGTTTAGCATGTGCTGATCAATTGAATAAAGCTGGTCATTCTGTTACTGTTTATGAAAGAGCTGATAGACCAGGTGGTTTGTTGATGTATGGTATTCCAAACATGAAGTTGGATAAAGATGTTGTTAAGCGTCGTACTGATTTACTAGCTGCTGAAGGTGTTAATTTTGTTTGTAATACTCAAGTTGATGATTTAACTGATTTGAAATCAGAAAATGATGCAGTTATTTTAGCTATTGGTTCAACATTTCCAAGAGATTTGAAAATCCCAGGTCGTGATTTGAAAAACATTGATTTTGCAATGACTTTATTAAAAGATAATACTCAAGCTTTATTAGATGATTATCTACCAGAAATTCGTGAAAAACTACAAGGTAAAAAAGTTATTGTCATTGGTGGTGGTGATACAGGTAATGATTGTATTGGTACAGCAACAAGACATGGTGCATCTTCAGTTGTTAATTTCGAATTATTACCACAACCACCTCAAGAACGTTCCAAAGATAATCCATGGCCTCAATGGCCAAGAATCTTTAGAGTTGATTATGGTCATGCTGAAGTTAAAGAACATTATGGTAAAGATCCACGTGAATATTGTATCTTGTCTAAGGAATTCATTGGTGATGATGAAGGTAATGTTAAAGCTATTCGTACTGTTAGAGTTGAATGGAAGAGATCAGAAAGTGGTGTTTGGCAAATGAATGAAGTTCCACATAGTGAAGAAATCTTTGAAGCTGATATTGTCTTGTTATCTATGGGTTTTATTGGTCCAGAAATTGCCAAAATGAGTGTTAATAAGACACCAAGAGGTACTATTCCAACTTTAGCTGATTCAAGTTATCAAGTTGAAGATAATTTGTTCACCGCTGGTGATTGTAGAAGAGGTCAATCATTAATTGTTTGGGGTATTCAAGAAGGTAGACAATGTGCTAGAGAAATTGATATGTATCTAGAAGGTGGTTCCAAATTACCAGGTAATGGTGGTATTGAAAGAAGAGATTTCAAATTATTGGAAGAATTAGCCACTCATATTGAGTAGAGTTGTGTATTGTGTGTATTTATAAATTGTCATTTCAAGAAATCATATATGTAGACAATAATGGAAACTTTGAGCTGAGTTTGCAATGTTACGCTCTGCTTCTCTTGAATGTAGTGATATTATCTAGCTATATTGAAGACACATCATTCTCTCAAGCTTATAGTTTATAGTTTATAGAATTTCCTTTCAGCTCTATTCCATGAGCACTGAGTCCCTGACTAGTAATCACTTTATAAACTAGGCGATGAACATTTTGTGTCCCGTGCCAACATTTCGATCTCATATTTTTTTTCAAATTTGTATCCTTTCTTTGATGTATGATGATTTTAGTTGAATGTACAATTTTCAACTAGAAGTGTTGATATTGTTTTTGTATATCTTCTGGTATGAAACTTTTTGAACAGTATGCTCAAAAAAGGTGACTTGGCTTAACCTCAAAGTTTAGTTGTGGGTTTCATTTCTCTGACTGCACATCAAGTTCAACTTGTAAAATTGAACTATATTGACAATGCATTTTGTAACCTCATGAGTTTAATTACAAGTGACATACTGAACTTTACGCTCTTCAGTTATTATTTGTTTTAACTATATAAATAAACTGAGTGAATGTATTGTTTACATTGATTTTTCAAAATTTTAACTAGTGTGTTGTAGTGAAGCTTTTTCAGCAGGCGTGAACATCTGCATCGCTAATTTAGTTTCCTTCTCGAAATACTTTTGGAGAATGATCAATTCATTTCTAACATATGTTTATTAATATACTACAAAAAAACACTCGTCAACATCTATTTCTTGAAGAAATTTTTAGCCTTTTTCAAAAAACCCTCATCTTTCTTATCCTTTTGAACTTTTTTTCTTTGCTTTTGCTGACTTTCACTAGCACTGTTTTTTGGACTTATCATATTCCCATAACCACCTCTCCCAATGCTCATATTATTTTGAGGAGTTTGACTTTTCTGCGACAAGACTGGCGATATGTAATCCTCAGGGTCTTGATCCACATCTTGTAATTTCCTCGTTAATTTGGCATCATTATTCTTCATCATGTTACCAGCACCACCTCTACCTGTAGAGAACACTGGCTGTAGTAAATTTGGAGTTTGTGAACCTATTTCAACTTCTTTTGGGTGTGGTTGAGAATCACTTGACTGGATGTTCCCTGCACCTCCACGGCCAGTTGCAAAGTAATGTTTTCCCATGGTGGTTGTTTGTTGAATTGTGTGAATGAATATGAGATTGGTTCAATAGATCTGGAATTCCTCGTTGGTTATATATGAATCATAAAAGGTGAAAATTTTGTTAATGTTTATTTCGTCAAGGAAGAGCCTGTCATGTTAAACTTCAAACGGCTCTTTGATCACGAATTTCAAGAAAACTCTTGACATAAAAAAAACAGGGCGTCTAACCACAGAACGCATTCGCGAACACATAAAGTACTATTACACTTGGCTCTTAGATATTAATGACATTTATTTATTAATTCACATGAAATCATCCTCACCGAAGTCATCATAATTGTCTACAACAATATCAGTGTCCTTCTTGAAGGCACCTCCGAGATTAGGTCTAGCCTTGGTGTTCTTCTTCTTACCTGCACCACCAGTAGCAGTACCACCACTCTTGGCCAATCTAGCTTGTCTTTCTTCTCTTTCTTTTTCTTTAGAAAGAACAGTCAATGTGGAAATGACTTTTCTGATGTTTTCTGTGGATAATGGTTTGGTTAAATCTCTGACTAAATCAATAGCTAAACCTGATGCATAGTTTAATGAACTTTGTTCATTTAATTTAGTTAAAGCTGGTGATAATGCTTTTCTTAGTTTTTCATAATCTTGTTTAGTTTCTGGTTGGAATAATGGATGTGCTTCTATTGGAGTATCAGCTGTGATTTTAGGTTGTGCAGCTTCACGAGCAGCGGCTTCTCTAGCAGCTTTTTCTCTTGGATGTTCATTAACACCTAATCCACCAAACAAATCAGCAGCATTATTCAAATCTGAATCTAGTTCAGCTTGTCTCAATAATTCTTTACGTGTCTTTTCATCAACATTATCTAAATCTAATTCTGGTTTAACTGATTTAACAGGTTTTTTAGAAGCCGCAGGTTTAGCTTTTGGCTTTGGTTTTGGTTTTTCTTCTTCTTCCACATCCCATGATTCAGCTAAAGGTTCATCTTCATCAGCAAATTCATCTTCCCATGAATCAACAACTTTGGCATTACTTGAAGTTGGCACTTCAAAATCTTCGTCGTCTATTGACACCCCAAATGTTAGTTTGAGAAAAAATCGATAGATAAGAAATATGAAGTTAAAACAATGGATTTTTGAGCAAACCTTTGCTTTAAGGTCACAAATCAGTAATTCTTACATACCCCAAGACATCTCTATAATTGATATAACTCTATTAATACCTTGAAATTATACAAGTTTTAGTGGCACCTTCATCTTTTTTTTCTATGGTGAACCAAACTGAAAATTTCAAGGTTTTTTTTTCGCGAATGCTTGCGGGTAACCACGGTGATTTTTTAGGAGGGTAAACTTCGCGAAAAGTCAATGAAGCTATAAATTATAAGCTCATAAAACCTATTCATTTGAATATTATGTAGTTGTATTTCACTATTTCAAAATAATTTCACAAAAAGTTCCACAGCGTTGAGAATATTTTTAGTCATGACAGTTGCGTTCAAGAGTCAAGACCGAGGTCCGAGATTGAATCAACCTAGTGAGGCATTGAGATTCTCACCACAACAGCTAGCTTCTTCTTGACAAAAGAGATTCAATTTAACTAAAATCTTTATCAAGCATCAGAACCAATCAAAAACTCATCATTCAAAACCATTTCGAGTTTGTTCAGTATTTTGTGTCAAAAGCGTTGACAGGCAACTCAATTCGCGAAAGAATTTGACATGCTTCTCGAAAAAATCATGAAAACAATTTGTGGCTCAAATTATCTTTCAACTCCAGACTGCACAACCTACAACAACGGTTTTAAATCTGACTAGATTCTTTTTGATATGGTGCGATACTCCTCATTCGTATATTGTGCGCCATGTTATCAATTGTGTTGTGCTCAACTTCAAGCCATAATTACTAGATGCAGCCAAAAATTTAATCATTAAAAAGCCGGTCCCACATAGGCTTTGATAAGAAGTACACAGTTTTGGGAATGATTCACCCTCAAAACCCCGTGTTAAAGTCCACAGTTCTTTTGAAATGAATCATGCACAGAAAAAATCAGAGGCTTATCAAGAGGGAATGAAAGTTTTATGCGACCAGTGTGTTGGTAATATTGAAAGTTGTGAACCACAGTTTCTTTTTGATTCAGAAATACCTCGAGGACATGATGGCAAGGTTTTGTGTATAAGTAGAGAGAAAATTGTTGATTTGGATATCTGTTGATATATTTCGGTCCTCATATATATCATAATGAGTTGGAATCCACAAGAGAAAAATCAATCAACAGTGATTGAAGACCAAGTTGAAACCCATTCTATAGATGATTTCGATAGACATGATTCAGCAGAAAAAGGTAACCATGTTGAAGTTTCAGTTGACGATTCTGATAGTTCATCAGTCTTTGGTGAAGATCGTCATAGATTGAAAAGCACCTTGGAACAACGTCACATTCAAATGTTAGCTCTGGTGGGTGTTTTTGGTACTGGGATTTTCTTGTCTTCAGGATCAGCTCTAGCTACAACAGGTCCTGCTGGTATGCTTATCGGATATAGTTTGATTGCATTCATTGTTGGTTTAAATCAAGTGGCTTTGGCTGAAGTTGCATCTTTAATGCCTGTCTCCTCTGCAACGGTTCGTCATTTAGAACAATTTATTGATCCAGCATGGGGGTTTGCATATGGGTGGATTAGTATTTGGGGTTCTATTATGCCTGGTGAAATCTCAGCTGCAGCTGTTATTATCTCATATTGGACTGATATTTCACAAGCTGCTTGGATTAGTATCATCATTTTTGTTATCATTGCGACAAATTCTTATACTGTTAGATTTTATGGTGAAGTTGAATTTGTCTTTGCATTGATTAAGATTTCACTATTGATTGGATTAATTATTGTTTCAATTGTGATAACTTCAGGTGGTGGTCCAACCCATGAAACAATTGGTTTCAGATTTTGGAGAAATCCAGGACCTTTTAAAGAATCTATTACAACTGGTAATTTAGGGAAATTTGCAGCTTTTTGGAAAACGTTATCAGGTGTTGTCTATTCATTTGGTGGTGTTCAATCTGTTCCGGCTTTAGCTGCTGAAGTTAAAAATCCAAGAAGAACTGTCTTTACAGCTTGTAAAAGAATCTTTTACAGAGTTACCTTTTTAATGATTACCACAGTGTTTTGTTTGACTTTAATTGTTTCATCAAATGATAAAAGAATTGCCAATTCCTCTGGTAATGCACAATCATCCCCATTCGTTGTTGCTATCAGAAATGCAAACATCAAAGTTTTACCTCATATTATCAATGCTGCTGTTTTGACCTCTGCTTTCAGTGCAGCAAATTTATCAATTGTCCATGGCTCAAGAACGTTATTTGCACTAGCTGTCAAACATCAAGCACCAAGAGTTTTTTTAAGAACAAATAAAAGAGGTCTCCCATGGGTTGGTGTCATTTTCATCGCTGCATTTATGCCATTAGCTTATATGAATGTCTCAACCAATGCTGCTAATGTTTTTAACTGGTTTCAATCTTTAACATCAGCCAACTTACTACTTGGTTGGATCTTGATTTCTGCTAATCACATCCATTTATCTAGAGCTATGAAAGCACAAGGTATTTCAAGAGATAGTCTACCTCACAAGTTCAAATTTGGTGTTCAAGCCGCTTGGTTTTCCGGTATTGCTTCATTGATTTTATTATTGACTGGTGGGTTCAAGAATTTTGTTCATGGTGATTTCTTGATTAGTAGTTTTTTCAGTTCTTATTTTATTATTCCATTATCTTGGGGGTTGTTCTTTTTCTGGAAATTTTTCAAAAAAACAAGATATTATAGACCACATGAAGTTGTTTTGACACCATTATTTAAAGATGTTGAAGAAAACCCAGAAGAGCCTGAACCAAAAGTTAGAGGTTGGAAAATTATTACCTTATTATGGTCCTGAGAAAGAAAAGTTGAATTCGAATAGGAACTTGGCACATTGGTATGTTGTTTATACTGTTGTATATTTATATTGTATTTGAAACTATTATATTTTCATAATTTGATTAACGTAAGTCAGGTCGATTGAAACTCTTCTCAAACATTAGTTTTCGCAAAAATCCGAAGTCAGCATGAGGGCCTAGCTGTACCTCGAGTATATAATTATTGAATGATGGAATAGCTGTACTGCAGGTCACCCTACAATTAGCAGCACAGTATATTGTTTATTAACTAAAATTATAATTAAAATATTGCATTAGCGTCAATTATGATGAATAATATAATTTCAAAATATTATCATTTTTTTTAAAATAGCTGGCTAGATTAATGATTTTTCTTTTAAAAATGATATTCAGCAGAATTTAGAGAATTGAAAATTTTTGCGAATTTACCCAGAAAAATTATGCAATTCTACAGATAGAATCAATTAACTAATTGTGGTTAAATTCAAAGGTGCCATTCACTAAGAATATTTTGATTTAAAGCCAATTAAAATTGTGCATTATGTACGTGCGCTAACCGATACCGGACATAAGCGGTAGCTAGAAAAACTATTATAAATTACCTTGAAAACATGAGAACATCGTAGTATCCTGTAATTAACTTGGAAGTGGAAAAGGGGTACTATAAATTTACAGAGCTGCATCCAAAGCCTTTGGAGGTAGTTGGATCGTTAGCACAGTGGCTTCAAAAATAATATGTTACTCGCTGTCTATAGTAGTCTTGTAGAGTGATCTTGTGCTCACTCAGCGAGCCTTGTCTTTTGACAGATAATCATCAATCTTAAACAAATCCAAGGACACCGTTAAATAACTGTTGTTTAACCGGTATACTGATTTTGAACTAATGTATGAACTTATAACGAATATCAATAATTGGAAATCTGTCCCGACTTCTATATCAATATTTTATCTAACTTAAACTCTGTAAGGAAGGAAAATGGTTATAAGGTAATACAATGTAATAATTCAAAAATCTAGTTAATCTTCTTCTAAACATAGGTATTTACGTTACTCAAATTTTTCACTTTTGTTGACCATTCAACGAATGCTCGAGATCTCCAATAACTGGGTAATACATTATTTACCTCAATAAACAACATAACTTACTGAGCACTACAAAGTAATACTACAGACTACAGTAACACTATTCAAAAGTGTTACGTTAATTGATCATGGCATCTGCTCCGATACACCGGTTAAATTGGACATAGCATAGGCTAATAATTGTAACTAATCGTGGGGTTGTTCAACAAAAAAGCAGATTTAAAAGCTATTCAGGACAACAGAAACACAATGAAATAATTAGTAGAGTCATATTAACTTAAATCTTCTTTACACCTTAATTATTATGATTTTTCAACAGTTTTTTACCCCAGTTTTAAAAGTGAAAGATCAAACAGGCGACACCCCCACGGATCTATCCCACGCTTCTTACGCGACACCTCCAAGAGCACGACAATTGGAATCACAACGGCCATAGTTAACAAAACATAATAGTGGCCATCTCCCTCTAAAATTGCAACTTCACCTCCATCTCGAAATTCTGTAGATTGCAAAATTGTATAAATACTTGTATCCATTGCCAAAACAAATTTTCTGAACTCATCATTCGGATACCCAATACCAAAATGCTGAGATCAAGACTAATAAATGCTAGTCGAGTTGGCTCGAGATTCATTTCAAGAACCCAACAAAGATCAATCCATACCATCCAAAATTCATCCAAATCTTCATCAACAAGTCTTTTATTAGCAACAACTATCACGAGTGCTGGTTTATTACTTGCTTACAACCAATACAAAATCTCCAATGATGATAACAAGAATGAACTTTTATACCCAGAATCTTCAACAACAAGTTTGTCAGAATTATCACCACCAAAATATGGATCAAAAGAAGATTTAGCAAAAGCAAAAGAAGAAATCTTGAAGATTGTTGGTGAGGATAATTTAGCCACATCTCAAGCAGAATTAGAATCTCATTCAGATACTTATTTCAATTCCCATCATGCCCTAGATGATCAAAGACCTCAATTGATTGTCTTCCCATCTTCCACTGAAGAAGTTTCACAAATTTTGAAAATTACTCATAAATACCGTATTCCAATAATCCCATTTTCAGGTGGTACTTCATTGGAAGGCCATTATATTGCCACCACGGGGACACCATCAATTACAATTGACTTAGCCAAGAATATGAATAACATAATTGCATTACATAAAGAAGATTTAGACGTTGTTGTCCAACCTGGTGTTGGTTGGGAAGATTTACATGATTATTTAACTGATAAAGGTTTGTTATTTGGTCCAGATCCAGGCCCAGGTGCTTTGATTGGAGGTATGATTTCCACTTCATGTTCTGGAACTAATGCTGCAAGATATGGTACCATGAAGGAAAATGTTGCTGGGTTAACTGTTGTTTTAGCTGATGGTACTATAATTAAAACTAAAAACAGACCTAGAAAATCAAGTGCCGGTTATAATTTGACTGGGTTGATCATTGGTTCTGAAGGTACTTTGGGGATTGTTACTGAAGCTACTTTAAAACTTCATGTTAAACCTAAAGAGGAAACTGTTGCAGTTGTTAGTTTTGACACGATTTCTGATGCTTCCAATACAGTTGCTGATATTGTTCAACATGGTATTCAAGTTAATGCAGTGGAACTATTAGATGATAAAATGATGCAAGTTGTTAATGAATCAGGAGAAACTACAAGAAAATGGATTGAAAAACCAACATTATTTTTCAAAATTGGAGCAAATAATCAAAGTGTATTGACAGAATTGATTAAAGAAGTCAATTTGATTTCTCAATCAAATAAATCTTCAAATTTTGAATTTGCTAAAAATGCAGATGAAATTGAAGAACTATGGTCAGCAAGAAAAATGGCATTATGGTCCACTATAAATAAAGGTAGACAAGAACATCCAGATATGCAAATTTGGACTACTGACGTTGCAGTACCAATTTCAAAATTAGCAAATGTGTTGAGTGAAACTAAATCTGATATGGCCAAATCTGGATTAACTGCAACTTTGGTTGGTCATGCTGGTGATGGTAATTTCCATGCCTTTTTATTATATAGACCTGAACAAAGATCAATTGCAGAGGGGCTTGTCGCAAATATGGTTAAAAGAGCCATTGAAGCTGAAGGTACATGTACTGGTGAACATGGTGTTGGTTATGGTAAAAGAGAGTTTCTTTTGGAAGAATTGGGTGAAGATCCAATCAATATGATGAGAAGAATAAAAATGAGTTTAGATCCTCTTAGATTGTTAAACCCTGATAAAATATTCAAAATTGATCCAAATGATCATGAGCATTAGAAAAAAATAAATATTCAATGAATAGGAAATTGTAGTAGACCTTAAAAATCTAAAACTAATAACCCAGCGATTTCTTCGAGGTGTTGAGTATCCAAAACATCACTTATCAATTGGTTTTGTAAAGCAGCACCATCAGTTTCTTTCCCTTTAATATCTTTAGGATTTTCACGAACTTCATTAGCTCTTAAAATGGCCTCTCTAATAAACATTTTCAAATATTCTGAAGATAATTCTAAAGTTTGTTGAGTGATTCTAGTATCATCATGTTCAAAAACTGCAGTTTGAAAAAGTCTGGATAATGTAGTGATTGGGATTTTAGTTTCTTCTTCCGAGGTCATCTTCGTTTGGGGATATTTTTTTAACTGTTTGAAGATGAGAGAGACGCGTCAAAGATTTTTTTGTGCAAAAAAAAAGTTGACAGAATATCCTCTACTGTGTGTATATAAGGTAATTCCGATGTTCTATTAATATACATATAATGTTACAATTAGTGGATTCTTGATTCTTCTTATAGTTGATGTGAAATGTTGAGTATTGATGAATTGTGCATAATTGGTTATTCTGGTTATGTAATACCTGACATTCCCCCCCTCATTTCTGAGTATTTATTGAATGTAATAATATTAAATATGATGAAACTTGATTTGGAACTATATTGTGTTGTCTTTTGTTAACCGGTGTTCAATTGGTTGTGATTGAATATGAAAGAATGAGTGAAGTACCTATAGATTTAAAAGAATGATTCTTGAATGGTGTGGAGGTTAATGTCTTTTGAATTTCAGGACCTGAGTATTTCTTGGT